GCGTTATAGTTACTTGGTATATTGCCGGACTCATAAGAGACGTTTCGAATGTCTTTGTCTAATTCAGCCCTGAATGGTAGGATTAACATGGATAGTGTTTTGAATGAAGAGATGGAAAGGAAGACATATGGATCTTTCTTTTCACGTTATGATGCCTTGGTTGTTGAGAAAAAGGGAAGAAGTAAGACTCAAGGTTTCGAGGAACAGAGATAAGAGCCGAGTCAAAAGCAAAGGTAGATCCAATAAATTTGCAAATGTCGAGTGCCATTATTACCATCAGAAGGGATATATCTGAGGTATTGCCGTCAGTTGAAAAGAAAGAAACAGAAAGAAAAAAGAAAAGAAAAGTGATAATGACAATCGTGTTACTACACTTTTAGAAGACTTTCTCATTGTCTTTAATGGTGATGCAGTGAATTTTGTATATCATGAGACCAGTTGGGTAATCGATAGTGATGCATCTATTATGCAATGTCTCGTAGGGATTTCTTTACATGTTCCAAGTCATGTGACTTTGAATTTGTGAATACGGGAAACAATGAGTTGGCTGAAGTTGTAGGCATTGGTAATGTGTGCCTAAAGACCAGCAATGGCACGAGGTCATAATGTTAAGCATATACCTGATATTCGTTTCCATTGTTTAACACAAGGCAAAAAAATCGAACAATAACCAATGCTCTTTTACCACTTTGTTGGGAGAACAATGACAAACAGTGAGGTAGGCTTCATTTAGTTTAATAAACTTTGGGTTCATGTGGGTTTAATGAGTATGGGCTTGATTTAGGCTAAACGAGTTTGGGCCTGATTTGGTTTAGGAAGTTTGGGCTTAGCCTAGTATATGTTGATGCCGCTTGATACGCCGCCGAGGCTCCCACAGGACAAGTCTTCGCACGAACTCGCGATCGACGAAGAAGAGAACTCCAACTCGCAATGGGAACTACAACTTTGTGAACTCCAAATCACGATGGGCGTCAAACTCCAACTAGAGAGGGGAGCCAATCACGATCTGCATCGGCTTGATTTGAGGGTTAGGGTTCAAAGGGGATACGAGTGCTATTTTGCTTCAAAGGAGGAGATGACATTTAGTTTGTGGAAGAGGCTTGATACGACACCGTTTTCGATTAAGTAAATGGTCCAAAATGGCGTCATTTTGCACACGTGGTCCTTTTCACTTAAGCTATTTGCCACGTAGAAGAGAGAAATTATTAAAATAAGCCATGTCCGCATTTCCAGTTAGCCAAATTGGACGGACTTAATCACACCAACTTGTCAAGTTTTAGGATTCATTTGCACTTTTTGCAAATTTTAAGATTCAATTGCATTTTCGTCTTAAATTTTAAGACTTTCAATACATTTATCCCAAAGATTTAGAATTATAGTGCACTTACATTCAGTACTTGATTGCGCTTCGTACAAGATATCCGGAATTTTGCATGTAATTCTCCCTAAAAATTATACCGCCCTTTGTAATATACACAAAAAGAAACAAGATTAGGTTTAAAAGATCTTACAAACGCGGGCGCCACTATAATCGTCAAAACTTTCTAAAAACTTAGGGTGCGAATGGTAACCATTCTGCTCCAGAAATCAAATTCTTGCCAGAAATTTATTTCTGGAATTCTTGCCATAAATTGATTTCTGGAGGAGAAATCTGTTTGGTAAAACATGACTAATTCTGCTCCAGAAATTGATTTATGGAACATAAATCTGTTTTAATTTGTTGATTTTTTTGCACCTAAAAAAATTTAAATTTTACTCAAAGTAGGTGGTCACATGTATTATAAGCCATTCTGTAAAGTTTTGAAATTTTTTATTTTTTTAATTTTTTTTGAGCACCTAAAAAAATTTAAATTTCACTCAAAGTGGGTGGCCACAGGTATTCTAAGCCATTTTGTGAAGTTTTGAATTTTTTTTTTTTTTATTTTTTTGGGCACCTCAAAAAATTTAAATTTTACTCAAAGTGGGTGGCCACATGTATTATAAGCCATTCTGTAAAGTTTTGAAATTTTTTATTTTTTTAATTTTTTTTGGGCACCTAAAAATATTTAAATTTCACTCAAAGTGGGTGGCCACATGTATTCTAAGCCATTTTGTGAAGTTTTGAATTTTTTTTTTTTTGGGCACCTCAAAAATTTAAATTTTACTCAAAGTGGGTGGCTACGGATATTCTAAGCCATTCGTGAAGTTTTGAAATTTTTATTTTTTTTTTTTGGGCACCTCAAAAATTTAAATTTCATTCAAAGTGGGTGGCCGGTATTTTAAGCCATTTTGTGAAGTTTTGAAAATTTTTATTTTTTATTATTTTTCTTTTTTTTTGGCACCTCAAAAAATTTAAATTTCACTCAAAGTAGGTGGCGCGGGTATTTTAAGTCGTTTTGTGAAGTTTTGAAATTTTTGATTTTTTGGGCACCTCAAAAATTTAAATTTCACTTTCAAAGTGGGTGGCCACATGTGTTTTAAGCTATTCTGTGAAGTTTTGAAATTTTTGATTTTTTTTATTTTTTAAAAAAAAATTCACCAAATTTCATATTTTCTCGAAATCTGACTTTGTTTATTTTCTGGAAATTTTTATGAATTTTTCTAGAATTTTTCAATTTTTATGCATTTTCTGAAAAAAAAAATTATGAGAAAATAGGGAGAATGCATTCCGGAATCAAGAAGCTACAAAAAGTAGCTTCTCTTTTTCTTGCCAAAAACTCATTCTGGAATCAAAAATGCATTCTGGAATCAAGAATGCATTATGGAATCAAGTATTTTTAACAAACGCATTTTTATTCCAGAATGCAAAAATCGCTCCAGAATGCATTCCGGAAATTTTTTAACAAACGCCATTCTGTTCCGAAATGGATTCCGAAACAGAATTTTTATTCCGGAATGCATTCCATGCGCACCCTTAAGAACTCGTTTGCTTTAGAAATGAAAAAGTCGAGAACACGATTCATCAAATTAAATGTTCAAGAATTTAACTGACCAGTAGTCAAAAAGCTGTGCTTGTGATCTCTAATCTTATGTCATTGCATAAAGAAAGGCTTTAGCATTATGGTACTTCGGCACGTGTCGTTTCGTTGCAGTGGTTGGAAGAAAAACATAAAACAAAGAAGGGTTAATACCACGAAAAACCCTAAACTGGTACACTTGTGACACATTTACCCCAAACTATTTTTTTTACCATAAAAAACTCCAAACTGGTACACCTGTGACAATTTTACCCCGAACATATCACAAAAAACCCCAAACTGGTACACATGTGACAATTTTACCACAACTAATTTTTAATTTTATTTTTTTATTTTTTTGAATTTTTTCTTTTTTCTTTTCTTTTCTTTTCTTTTTTTTTTCTTCACTTCAACCTCTGGCCGGTCGCCAGTCCGGCGACCGGCCAGAGGCGGAAGCCGGCAAGGGCCGCCCTCGGCAGCCGCTGGCGAGGGCCGCCCTCGCTCTACTCGGCAAGGGCGACCCTCGCCGAATCTAGCAAGGGCGGCCCTCGCCGGCGTCGGGCGAGGGCCGTCCTCGCCGGCGCCGGCGAGGGCGGCTCGCCCAACTCGGGCGAGGGCCGTCCTCGCCCGCCTAAGCGGCCGCCTCGCCCGACGCAGCGCCGAGGGTCGCCCTCGCTCGAGTCGGGCGAGGGTCGCCTGCCTAGGCGGGCGAGGACGCCCTCGCTCGGCGCCGGCGAGGCAACCCTCGCTCGACGCGGCGAGGGCAACCCTCGCCCGACGCAGTGAGGGTCGCCCTCGCCCGGATCGGGCGAGGCGGCCTCGCCGTCTGCGGCGAGGTCGCCTCTCTCGAGTCGGGCGAGGATCGCCCTTGCCCCTGGGCGGGCGAGGATAGCCCTTGCCCGACGCCCGGCGAGGGCGGCCCCCCCGGCGCAGCGGCGGGTAGCCCTCGCCCGATGCTGGCGAGGCGGCCCTCGCCGGCGCAGCGAGGCGGCCACTCGCCCAATCTCGGCGAGGGTCGCCCTCGCCGGATCTGGCGAGGACGGCCCTCGCCGACTTCCGCCTCTGGCCGATCGCCGGACCGGCGACCGGTCAGAGGTTGAAGATAAAGAAAAAAAAATAAAATGAAAAAAATAAATAAATATTCAAAAAAATTTAAAAATAATATTAAAATTTTAATTCAGGGTAAAATTGTCACATATGTACCAGTTTGGGGTTTTTGATGGTCAAAAAAATAGTTCGGGGTAAAATTGTCACAGGTGTACCAGTTTGGGGTTTTTTATGGTCAAAAAAATAGTTTGGGGAAAATGTGTCACAAGTGTACCAGTTTAGGGTTTTTCGTGGTATTAACCCAACAAAGAAAGCCACGAGGTGGTCGAGCCTCTGTGTTTCCTTACTAAATGGTCTAGAGTTATTGTCACTTCGTGGGAAAAGGTTCGCCGGTGCCACGGACGGCCTGATAGCCTTCGCTGCGCTTTTTCGGAGGAAATGTCTTTTATCTGTTTGATAGAATAGACCTTATAAGTGCGCGAATCGGGCCATATATCGATATAGAAGACCTTGCCCAAGTTCGCCCAAGATATTAGAAAGGTGAAAAGGCCTAGGTTTTTTTTATCGAATATATATTTCGTCTGATCAAATCCTCAAAGTTGAGTAACTTTCTCGATCGAACATTTTCGACTACAAATCAATTTAATTGGATCTGACATCTCTATTGGGCCGGCAAGAATCCGACTCGCAGGGTGCAAAGTTCGTAGTGGAAATTTTCATTGCTCTAGGCTTTGGTCGTGATTTTTATCTTCGATGTTTTGTGGTCTTGCACATTAGCTCATGGTCCGCGGTCGCAAAAAAAAGTTCGCCCACGTCACAATATTTTTTCAATTATGGCTAATACGTCAGCTCGATTTAGTCGATATTAATTAAAGTCGTAGGAATTAAATTACAAAGGTTACGTCTTAGACAATTTTTTTTAAAAAAAAGTCATTAAATATCATTCATAGAATCATCTAACTCAAGGGGGAGATAGATGAATATAAGCTAAATGTGAAAAAGGGTATTCAACATATGTCCGGAAAATGTGCAATTTATTTATATTCACCCTATCAATTATAGAAGAGAGCTAGAAAGTCTTCTGCAAAATCTTGATGATCGCCAGCGCCACGCCCACCAGGTCCCGCACCAGCTCATTCCCTTCCGTCACCGGCGACCCGCCATGGCCGGAAAAGTTCTTCTCGCACTCCTCCGCCTCCTTGCCCGCGTCCGACAGCCCGTACTCCGCGAACCCGAGCTGGCCCTTGTCGAGCGCGTCGATCGCCTGCGGCAAGCTGTACTTCACCACCGGGATGTACAGCTCCGCGCAGTAGGCCAGCGGCTGCTCCGACTCCGGGTCGGGCGCCCGGCTCAGCAGCTCCTGGATGCTGTCCAGCGTGCGGCTCGCGCCCGCCAGGACAGAGCCCGCCATTATGCGGGCGAGCCCCCGGACGTCGGCGGCGCCGCTCTGTGGGTCGGACCTGAGGGAGGAGAGGCACAGGTCGTAGAAGGGCGTGAGCCTGCACGTCTGCTCGATGAGGTCGGCGATGTTCTGGGCCGGGAACTCGAAGGACTGCGCCGGCGGCGGCGAGGTGGCGAGGAGGAGAGCGAGGAGGAGGAGGGCGAGGAGGAGAGAGCGGACGAGAGCTTTCATGTTGTGGGGCAGCAGACATGCGAGGATTCGGAGGTACGAAGTGGTGGTTGGCGTTCCCGGAGAGGGAGGGAGCGTGTTGAAATACGGTGGTCGAGCTTTGGAGCTTAGCGTGTGGAAATGGACGGGTTCCCCACTCACTCATGGGGTGTTGGGATTCACGGGTCAGTCACTTCTTTCCTTTGCTTTGTCTGTTTCCCAGCTCCTGCGGTCCACGTGTCTTGCTTTTTTGCTGCTCCTTTCAAACCTGTGATAAACAAGGAGAATGCATTGGGCAGATACACTGTAATGAGCTCTGTCCATCGCTCACGTTCGGAGATCAAAATATCTCAAGTATTTTCTCATTAACGAGCCTCCGAAGGGCTCATCGAAGCCATTATAGGAGGAGGAGAGCTCGGTAGGAGGTTGATTCGTTCTCGGACTACCTAACTTAGACAGGTCTTACATTTGACCGGATTACTTGATTCACCGTGTTACTTTCAATGATCAAAAATATCATGATTTGAGCTTTTCTTTCTCTGCGAGTTTCCTCTCAAGGATCATTCTTTCATGCAATACCTACTCGCGTTCGGTGTCGCGCAGCGTCTCCCTTTTATATTAACTTGGAAAGTCATGTTTGCTCTTTTACGAGTGGAGTTTTATTCGATTCACGTGAATTGAAATGTATTGAAAAATGATGAGTTGGAGTTATTAATTCCATAAAAAGTGAAGGTCAAATCGGCGAAATGTGCATTTTTGGTGCCCCCACAGAAGCTTCAAGAAGCTGTCGTTTACATCAACGGCGATCCCCGATCAGTGGAAGCGACAAAAAGGCGAACTTTCACGGGCCAAGTCACGCCATGAACAGCAGAACTATACCTTTCAGTTTCAGACATTTGTTAAAAAAAAACCGAAAACAAAAGATCAAACGAACACAAAACTCACTTCTAATGACTTAATAACTAGAACATCCTCTTGCCTTTAACCCCCCATCAGCTGGTTAACGACGGCCATGGACACCGGCACAGAGGCCGCGCACGAGATCGTTCCTACCGGTCAACGGCGACCTGATCGCGCCCCTGAATCTCCCCTCGCACATCGGCTGCTACATCGTGGCCATGGCTAGCCTGTAGTCAACGAACCTGTATCGACCCCGGATCAGGGCGTCGGCCACGAGCAGGAGAGTCAGGCTCACCACCGGAAAGTACAGCTCAGCGCAATACTCCGGCGTCTTCACTTCTGTTGGGTCCGCTGTCTGCTTCGCGAGCATCTATGCATTGCTCGGAGATGGATTTGATTGCCGGGTCGCTACGCTCGTGTATTCCTAATGCATGAACAGTCAATTGTAGAATCAAGTACTCGAATACTAACCAAGAAAGACGCATGAAATCTATGTGCAAAAATGGGGAAGTATTACTAAAATTAGGATGTAAAAAGAATTTGATTAACTGTAGGAATTTTTTCGACTGTGGCTACTTCTTAAAAATTACCATTGTGGTTAAGACACGAGACTACGGGAACTTCGAGATGCAAGTTTTGTTGAGCTTCCTAAATTTCGCACGATAAATCTGAGAAATCATTATTAAACTTGAGAGAGACTTATCATTCTAGCACCTCTCGCATGTCTTAATCCTCCCGTGAAACTGCCCATCACATCGTTATGACCATCAATATTTTGTCTTCTGTCGTATTATGCAATGGCCCCCTAGGAATGATCGGTTCCCACCCAAGAACCGAGATCCGAATAAGTAGAATCAGTTCCTAATTTTTGGAATTGGGAATCAGATCAGTGCCCTCCGATTCCTAGGTGGGCCAATGAAATTCTTTTTTTATTGTTCAATGTTGAAAATAGGCAAAGGAATTGAAGAGAATGAAAACAGACGGGGTGAGAAATGGCCAAGTGATTCATGATGGACATCTTAATCTGTTATCAAAAAGATGAATTGGGTAACGAGGCATGAATGAGACGTACGAAAACTGTTGAGGGAGGCACTTGACAAAGCTGCAAAAAAAGAAACAGAGAGTGAGAGTCAATGAGATGCGAGATAGAGAATAATAAAAAAATCCGAAGATGAGATAAAAAAAAAAATTGAAATGGTGTACAAAGAACAGCAAAAAAAAATAAAGCATTTGCCATGATGAGATGCAAGACAGAGAGTGAGAGTCGAGTGGCCAAAAGCAGAGCAAGAAAGGGAGGCAAGAGTCGAGTGAGAGGGTGAGATCGGAAGAGGAAGGTGGTGAGAGCGACTCATGTAAGAAACGAGCAAGAGAGTGAGACCGCGAGAGGGAAGCGGGTCGTGACAGTCGAGCTAGAGGGAGGCGAGGCGAGCAACACAAAGAAAGAGCAACGCAGATTAGGGTTTTATTTAGATTTGACAAAGGGAGCGACTCAGATTATGTGCGAGAGAGTACTTAAGATTTGAAGGATTTTCATTTTTTTTTTTTTAGATTTTCAAGAATATTTAAAGAAAAAATAGTCAATTTGGTTTAGGCGGTCCTGATGAACGGGTCCACACATGAAACGGAGAATCGGAGCGGTTCCAATTTTTTGGAACCGGGAACTAGATCGATGCCCTTGCAAACCGCTCAGAACCGGCCAATTCGGTCTGGTCCGAAAGATTTCAGATCCAATCAGCCCATTTTTCTCACTCCTAATGGCCCCTATATCTTGTGAATCTTTTCGGTTTAGTCACCAATGAGCCTTTTGATACCATTGCCACTCAGGATCGACTATTTTCTTTTGGATAACTGCTAATTTTGGATATTTTGGTGGGCTTATGGAGAAAGAGGGTATTAACATGCTTGTTTTCGACAGTGTTTCCCCAGGATTTGTAAATGAGCTTTGAGTCCTTGGGAAGTTGGCCCAAATGAGCTAAAGGGCTGGGATGGGTTGTGATTGAAGCGTGGATTGTCGACTCGACACATCATCAACGAGCTTTAACCAGCTGGGCGAGCGATGTGCCGGGTCAATGTCGATCATCGAGAAATATTCAATCATTCCGTATCGCCACGTCAGCCGCCGACGGTACCATTTGTTTTCTGAGATCCACTTACAAATTGACACGTAGATTTGAAGGCATGGCTTCAGATCTGGAGGCACGGTGGCATTCCGTCAGGCCAGATCTGGACTAGCGACGTCGGCTGGCCAAGATAGAGCTTTATGCCGCATCGAGCTTTGCCACTAATGACGAGCTTGACAACAGCATTGGTTGACGCAGACAATAGCGGGCTTCGAAAAAGAAAGTGATGGTACATGGAGGTGCAGCAACGAGGGCAGGAGGAGGGAACTCGCTAGTTGGCGCGGCGGCCGCGACAGGGTGATGGGCTTGAGGATGGGGGTTGCAGCGGCTTGGAGGGTGAAGTTGTCGAACTGGATTTTCAAGTCCATGGATGGCCCGGCCAGAGCAATGGCTATGGATGGAGGAGGAAGGGAGAGGAATATGAGATTTTTAGCTTTAATTTGATTCTAAGTCGATGTCCGTGAGTCAAGTTATAATTGAATATGACTAAATAATTACTCACCACATCAGCTCGTCCATATCAGCTATTGATGTGGTGATGTAGGACGACAACCCCACTAGTGGCGGCCCTCGCCCGTGGTCGGCCACTAGCCAGGGCCTGGCAACCCCGATAGACCCTCACCCCACCATCGTTGGCCCTTTCTGGTGATGGTGGGGCGGCAAAAGCGAGGGCTTGCGTAAATACCATGTTGTTTGAGCCATTCGTTCCTTTCAAAAGGATCTCCCATTCATGTCACAAACCCTGAAGTCACGGTTCTTACTCAAAGTTGGACGAGAGCCTACCAGCTATCACCACTTGCTGCCCTCACACGCCGCTGGCAAGGACCGCGAGCCCTGGCTCTTGCCTAGTGACCAGCGAGGATCGCCAACGGCAAAAAAAAAATTAAATAAAAAAAATAATTACAAATTTCAAAAAAATAATTACAAATTTCAAAAAGAATTTATATTAGCATTGGCCGTACCGCATAGGACGGCCGGCATCCGCATCATTAATTTTCGGGCAAAATTGGCAGGATGGAGTATATCGGCAAATTATCAAAAAATTTACGACTAAATTGGTCAAATTGAAAATTTTATGACATAATTGGTACATATGCAAACACTACCTTAACACGTGTTCGATCTCGACGCCGAGAAGCTCTTTCCATCTCGTAAGCCGGGATCAAGTCTACCTTACTGTCCTAGTCCCGGCAAAGTCCTCCCTCATCCTCAATAGTAAGTATAGATGGACACCTCCATAACGTAAATTGGGTCGGCAGAAACAGACCACTTCCATCCCTACCCCAATTCCCACGGACGACGACCCTCCATTTCTGGATTTTACAGTTTGTGTTCTTGTTTACATACGGTTTACGAGATGGCGTAACTTCCGCGTCCGCCATGGACGTCGAAACCGGATTTCTAGTAGCAGACGAGTGAGTAATGTGCAGGAACATGCCCTCAGAAAACGGGTCAATGATGTTGAGATTCAGCAATTAACCCCCAACGGAAAGGCAAAAAGAACAGAGTATATTCAAGCAGCAATCCACGAAGTAGAAGTATAACAGCGATCTTTTGAATCACATGTAATCATTAACAAGAATCGTGAATGAATTTTGGGTTATGTTGTGCAGAGCGCAACGCACGCAAGCCGGTCATGGTGGTCCTCAGATGGTGCAGCCACAGAAGGAGACGAAGAAACAGAGCATGGCGACCAGGGCCAGCGACTCCAGCACCGTGATGAGCGCCCACATCACGTCGTCCACCACCAGATCGAGCCACCTGAAGCTCCAGCCCCCGGCCACCGCCGCCAGGCGCGACAGCCCCCGCCCCGGCCACCGCAGGATCGACGGCGGGAGCGAGATCTGCAGCTCCGGCCACCGGAAAGCCGCCGTCGACGCGGACAGTCTCGGTTGCATCTGTCTCCCCACTCTGGTTTGAGCCCCGAGTTCGTCGGGTCGTTTCGTAGACCCGGATTTTATAACGACTCCTGGAAAAAAAAAAGAAAAGATTTTTTAAAAAAACTCGTCAGCATATTAAATTAATTTCTAAAATTGATATTCGGACATCTTACTTACCATGTTAACTTTGTATACTTATCTTGAAAAATCTAACATTACTCAATTTTATTTTATTTTTGGATTTAGATCTTGAAAAATTACAAGTTCTAAATCCCGTGTACTAAATTACGCGACACGCTTCTCTTGTTATATATACGTTTTTTCGATTTTTATGTTAATAATGTGATAATTTTTTTAATGGCAACATAAAGTCCTAATATTAAAAAGAAATGAAATACGCACATACAAGAATAGGTCCGTTTTAGTCTTTGTTCTTTAGTTAATGGACGCTATTAGCGGCGTGATCACGGTCAAAATGACGTGATCCAGCTGTGGTTGTCCAAATGATGCTTATACGTTACCCACCAGAGCTGTCATCATATATAGGATCATATGACTTTGACTTCAGATGTATGTAGCCACTTCTACGCGTATTTTCCGCATGTCAAGTCATATATAATCTTGACCAAAAAAAAAAAGTCTTTAAATAATTTCGACCAAAAAAAAAAGTCATGAAATAATGTCTATTCTTTTTGGCTTTGTTTTTTTTCTCTTCTTTTGTTAGTTTATGATAACTTGGCAATACTAATGCAAATCTAGCTATAGTTTTCACAAGGATTTGATGGGGGAAAACCGTCACATTTTCATCCACATTTTGATGATGCATGTATTTCTTACTCATCAATTCAAGGTTTAGCGACGGATAAAACGGCAAAAAACAAAGTATTACACCCATCTTGAAGGAATGGTTCTGCGTAATAATTACATGACTCGTGGTGTAGTAAGCTGATCAAAAGTGAACAGTTCTTAAGTTTTAAGCACCTTGTAAGATGGAAATGTATGCTTGGGGCAGGGCAATGTGATTAGTCGGCTCCGTCACGTGCGCCCTGATCCAATCATTCTTGCTCGCACTTCATCAGCGACAATGTGTGGTTTGGAAAACTGACTGCCCCTCGAAGATGAAGATGTTCCTGTAAGAGCTTTGCTTCAATATGATTGCTACCGTGAGTGATTTGAAAAGAAGGTTGGTTAGGCACATTGATAAAAGGTCTCAATTCCATTCAACTTGAATCCTCGGATCACATTACTTTGCTCCGTGACCGAGCTCAATGCGTCTAGTTTGGTGGTTTGGGCTCTCATGTCAATAGAGAGAACGTTTCGACCTTCGACAAGTGACTCGAGTTGATCCTTAAGAGAGAGAGGCTAACATGAGGAGGCTAACACAAAATCAAATGCATTGACGATTTTACTATCCATCTGGAACCCCCCACTAACCTTGTGAATTAAGTGACACCCAAGTCAACAATCATTTACACGTGATAGAGTGGATAATCTAACACGCGCCATGAGTTTGATTTTGATCCAAACGCCAGATTTCGTTCCTTAAATATTACATGTCGATTTCTAATCTGAAAAAGTAATTGTCGTTTCGATCATCGTGGTCTATTGGAATTAAGCTCGAGATGTTTTTATTCACGACCTTCTTTTTAATGAAATTATGAAATCTTCATATATTAATTTCATATTGATTAAGCTGATCACTAACGATAAATGGCACCACAGGCCCAGGATAGAAACTAGCCCATGGCCCATGGGCCGTTCAACAGAAGCCCAAACCGGAAAATATCTCTCCACGTGACAGGCACGTGCCTGCCCAGGGCCATGAGGGCGCCGCAAAGCCGGCATCAACCCTAGATACAGGCCCTCGAACGTGGACCCTCCGATCGATCGCCACGTCATCGATCCGCGTCCGGGTTTCCTTTCGACGGCCGAGATCCGGCCTCAGGGCCGATGCTAGAACAAACGCACAGAGGCTCCTTCGCTCTCTCTCTCTCTCTCTCTCTGTCTCTCTTCCTCTCTCTCTTTCTCTCTCTCTCCTGTTTTTTCTTAATTTTCGCGAATTTTGATTTTTTTCCCTGGAAATTCCGTTCTGCAAAATTTTCCCGAGAAAGTTCCCCCAGGCGACTTTTTGTCCTTTCTCTCTTTCCCCGGAGATGAAGCTCGTGGAGGAAGAAGAGATAGCGTTCGTCGAGAAGGAGGAGGAGGAGGAGGAGGAGGAGGAGATTGAGGTCTCCAGCGGGGACGAGGAGGAGAACGACGGCGTGGAGGGCGGCGGCGCGGGGGAGGAGGAGGACGGCGGGGAGGAGGGCGACGGCGGCGGCGACGGCGGCGAGGACGACGACGACGACGAAGAGGATGGCGATGGCGACGAGGAGGACGACGACGACGTGCAGGAGGTCTTCCCCGCGTCCGGTGGGCCCGTGGCGGTGGGCGGCGACAGCGACGACGATGACGACGACGACGACGAGGATGACGACGCCGAGGGCGACGACGGCGGCGATGACGACGATGACGACGACGACGACGATGAGGAGGCTGAAGATGAGGTAATCTAATGACCTGAATCTTTGGCGGTTCCGCTTTAAGCTCAGCTAACTTGTTGGTTCGATTCGTAGCTATGCTTGAGAATTGCTTGTGCGTCTTTCCTATATGGCTGTTGAAAAATCGTTGCTTTACCAGTAGTCGTATCAGTTCGAGTTCAGAAAAATTTCATCTTTCTCGTGTCAGAATCCTCTCTCCCTGCTATGCTGTTCTAGATCGAGTAGGTTGCATCATGGAAACAGGATGAGAGAGAGAGATCCGCGTGAGCGAAGCAGCATCTCGTCCACTGGATTCACGTATCTAGGGTTTATCTTCGAGGCTAGGAATTTGGGCACGCTAGTACATGAAATTGCGGGAATGGTTTTTTCGGGGCTGTTGTGTCGAGTATTGAGATCCTGGATTTTCAATTTCCACTGTTCTATGAATTTCTCTTTTGTGGATTGTTTCTCTGTAGGGTTCAATCTTTCACCGTCTGTTCTGAGCTCTGTTCATTGGTGAAATCCTAAGTTCCTAGCACCCTGGTATCTGATCTTTGCATCTGCGTGATTTTTGGAACCTTTGACTGCTTCGATCTTGCAAATTTCTTGGGTCCTTCAAGATATCCAGGGATCTTTGCTGAAAAATTTGCAATCTTTTTTTACCGGATGAATTCGGTTTGTTCCGTCTACCGATTACTTGGATCTTTTCCAGGTATCTGACCTTTTGAAAACAGATTCTTGAATGCTTCAACTCAAAAATGGGATTTAAGTGGAAGGGCAGTCAAAGATTGAAATGGGTGTTTCTTGTTTGCTTCTCAGAGAAGTGACAATCGCGAGAACGTTCGAATTTTCGAGCTTTCAAGCTTGATAGATCTCTAAATCTAGGATTCGAAGTGGGAAAAGGAAAATGAATAAATAAATAAGACTGGTGCATCTCGAGTTTATGCTGAGTCCTTTCGCTTAAGCCTTGCTTACTGATGCAAATGAATTCTGTAGGAGGAATTGGGAACTGAGTACCTAGTCAGGCCTGTGGGTCGTCCCGAGGATGAGGAGGACGCGAGCGACTTCGAGCCTGAGGAGAATGGCGAGGAAGAAGACGTCGACGAAGAGGACGAGGAAGACAGGGATGGGGACAATGCTGGCGGGAAGGTCGAGGCTCCTCCGAAGAGGAAGCGATCGGATAGGGACAACTCTGACGACGACGACGGCGGCGACGATGGGGGAGAGGATGATGAGAGACCCTCCAAGCGATAGGCCGAGGGCGTGGCCCTTCCTGGTCTGAGCAATGACTTTGACTTATTTGACTCTCTATTTTCTCTCTCAAAGCCCCCTCTTTGCAGCAGGGAAAAAAAAAAGATAGCAGGTTTTCAATTGGAGTAAGCTTTTTTTCTTTTGGGTCGCTTGTATCCTCAAGGTGCATTTAGGATGAAGAGCATAACTCTTTGTATGGTCGAATGCATAGTCACATGGGGTTTCGACAAAACTGTGTTGCAACAAGCTGATTTAGACATGTGACTCCTTGTGTAAGTTTTAGGAGATTCGGGAACATTTCATTGGACACAGTTATGTTTTGTAGGGTTTTCTTTCCTATAATTTAAGAGTTTCTCTGGTTAGGGTCCTAAATCGTCCTTTTATGTGGGTCTTTTGAACGTGCGGTATGTCTCTATCTCGACACCTTACCTTCCCACTTTCCCTGTCTTTTTGGCCATTTTCTCGGTTCATTAAGATGAATATGATTTTTGGCGAAGCTCGACTTGGATGTCAGCATGGTCAGTTTCTCTTTTTCTTTTTCGATTGAGTGTGTGTTCCAAGCGGATGCGCCATCCCTTTGCGGTGATATGTTCAAGATGATGACAAATCCACACGAAGAGCTTCCTTTTTTCAAACTAAGGTGCAGCTGCAAAGAGCTTTTTTGAACGTTAAACCAGTCGAGATTTTATTTTTCTAACTGATGATCGACAGATGAATTCGACCCGCGAACAATGATTGACCGAGCAAGGATCAACTTCGAGTTGGCTTCTAGGATGGTTGTCTAGCGGTGGACTCGGTTGCTACGTCACCGGTATGTCCCTAACCAAGTCCCGAATCTCCTTACAGATGCAATGTAGATGTAGGTGATGACCCTCCAACCCTAACTCACACTTATTTACTAAAGTTGAGTTTCTGAGTTCCGACCTTCACGATGGTTTATGTTTCTTTCGTTTTCACCATTCTATAGTTTTGAATAAAGGAGTCCCCGCACACATTAATCTTTCAAGTATAAGTCCTCATTATCGAATCTAGCGACCACAAATTGCGTTGGCCGCGATTCCTTCGGTGCCTTCAACTAAATTACCCATATTTGTACGTTTACCTTCATTTACAAACATACCAGAGGGCTTCCACAGCAACATTAGTACACAGAGGAACTGAAACAGTTTACTCTTGACAAAAAAAACTTAGCATAGTATTTTTCCTGTTACAAACAAATGTAAATTCATGTATAACACTGTCCGTAAGTAACATCACATGTTTTGCTAGCTAATCGATGCCATCCATAAGATCGGCCAAGAGAAACTAGCCCTCCTCAGAAAACATCTGTAAGTGTTTTAGCTAAAGAAAAATTCTAATCAATGCCGGTTACTTACCAAGCAAGAAGCCATGCATCATGTCATCTGGTTCTCACAGATCTCAATGCCCTAGTCATCTGACACTGCTCGAGGAGGATTAATTTCTCTCGATTGACCATGGCTAGCCAGTAAAGCATTGCAACGTTTGCTTGTTACCATGGATAGTGTTATATAGACTTACATGCTTCAAGGAGCATTCCCCTCGTCCACAACTAATATGTTTCCTCTGGGATTCCTCCCCGACGTGATGTTGCACCAAAACTACTAAGGTAAAAAACGAGTAAACACAAGTGAGACATACCAGCCTAGCAGTAGCATATGATACTAATGTGCTGCCACAGTTATCCTCTGCAATAGCAACAAGCAGTGAACAACAGATCAGAACAGCATCACCTTGCAACTGCGTGCATCTTTTCGTAGCCAAACAACAAAAAGCTTCTCACAAAGCAAAGTGCCGATCAGGAGAGACTGAGTCTTCCAATATTAAATCCCGTGTCAGCTCCAAAATAAATGCTATGTAATTCTTCTTCTTCTTCATTTTCCTCCTTGTTGCAATACTTTTCCAAAATCTTCACGGCTTGTTCATAGACCTCGTTGTTCTTGTGACTCTGGAGGTCCTCGATTTTGTCCAACCCCTCACATTCATCAATCATGCGCAAATATACATTGACCTGGAAAATACCCCGTTCTTTGTTTGTTTCACCGCTCTCTAGAATGCTTTCCACACCATCTAGGCACACCATTATGATCTGAGGGTCGGAGCAAATAAGGAGATCGCAGAGCAGCTTGATACAACCCTGGCTCACCAAGTATCTGCAAAAACAACAAAGGTCGAAATTCTGTAAATCATGTTGAAGTGTTCAATCAAGAACTCACACTTCCATCTACTAATATAAATCTCTAAGCTAATCAGATGCAGTCGGATAATTCAATTTGATATCATCCAACCCTCCCCTGCCATCACTGTCGCTGTCACTTCATTTCAAATCATTTCCACACTTCTGGATTTGGTTTAGTAACAGCATGTGCGTGAGAGAGGGCTTTGAAGTGTTTGGACATTGAACACTACCACAATCCGCTTGCGTAATGGATGGATCCATTATGATCTCCGACAACACATTACTGCATAATACATTTAACAACTGAAAAATGAACTGCCGATTATATTTTTTCTAGTGAGACTTTCCTTTTTTTCCTTACTCTGCAAGTGCAGTCAACATGAATTGGAATTGCATTCCCTGCTTCATCAATCCTCGTAGGTAAAGGGATGAAACAACCCTAGACAAACCATATGACTAGCAGAAGACGACAAGAATGACAATCTCAAAGTAACTAACCAGTTAGTTTAGACATAGACATGAGCTACAGACATTTAATTCTCTTCAGCTATAAAAAATGAATCGCAACGGGAACAGTATGGGCATGATTTCCATCTTTTGGGTGATAACCAGCACGAGGTTCCACATGTTGTGTTGGAGCAGAGTAAATGTAGATAATAGACATACTGAATTTGTTCATGGGACCCGCCAGAGATGGCATTTGAAATAGCCCATGCAGCCTCTTTCTTAATTTCAAATTCGGCATGTTGAAGAAGGCTCACAACAGGAGGGATGATGTTTGCTTCCATCACAGCCTGAAAAGGACAATAAAACCGTTTTTACAAGTTTGTGCAAGCACAATGACCTATGGAAATATTTCTTAAGAGTGTCAACTTCATAATTAAAATGCTATGTCTGATAGCAAAATCCATACAGGTTGATCAAGTTATCATTAGGGATTAAGATCCTGACTTGTCTGGCAATGTTATAGATCTATCAGATAAGCAAAAGCTCCTTTTAAAAAATTTAAAAACAAACAAAAGGGGAAAGAGTGATAATTCTGGCATTCGATCTTGAAATGTACTTTTGAAATACATTGGAGGTTCCTTGACAAGAAAATCAAAAGTGAAAACAATTACTTCATTGAAGGAGAGACTGCTCTGTCCAGGGATAAGTGACAAGGTACCATCAATTATAGGAAGATTCACCCAGGAATTCAGGATAATGACGGGACAGTAATTTACAACAGCACAAACAATCAAAAGCAACTACAAAAAGGTCTTAATAGACACTTATTTCATATTCAATGGTCAATACAATATACTATGCTATCGTCGGATAGAGGTTTTGCCTGAATTTGACTTCTGTTACCCGCTGTAATATTTGAAATTACCCAACAAGCTTCTTTCTTGACACTCCTCTCACAATTCTTTGTCAGAATTTGATATAAAGGAGGCAGTCCTTGATTGTCAATTACAAACTGCAACCGAAAATCAAGTCTTTAGGTAAGGATAAAGGAAGCTTGGTTTAATCTTGGAAAGTATCTACGAATCCCAAGACCAATGAAACAAGTCAAAAACATCAGTCACATGAATGCAGTTACTTCAAGTTCAGAGATAATCGGAGATGCGTGTTGTGCTGCTGGGATTCTAAAAGACCTAATGCTTTCAAAAGACTGAACTACGTTTAGTATTTTCAGCCATATAAGGGAGATGGAAAGACCTGAGTCTGAGCATCGTTGCCTGACACAATGTTCCCCAAAGCCTGAAGAGTCGGTACCAGGACCTTAGGTGATGGATGCCTGCAAACGAACCACATATGAGAAAAGAAAGTGAATTGACACAAAAAAAAAAAAATGGAATCCTTAAGTGAGATATCCGCCCTAGTGTCGCTTTGTATATACCAAGACCCTATCAGTATTCATGAAGCTTAAGTGTTTCACCATTTTACTATGCTCCGTTTACAAATTGGCCTTCTGTATTTGCATGCCCAGACTAGAAATATATATGTAGCAAACCCGACATTCTTTTGCCATGCTAGACGGCCCATATATATCATCTTACACGAGAAGTTCTAGAAGCCGTGGACAAACTCCTGCTTCAATCACAAACTGGATATTCTGATTTGAGCCATCAGAAATAAAAGATAGAGCCCAGCACGCGTCAATCAATACTTCTACATCTTCTGAATTAATGAGGTGCCTGAGGGCTGGCAAGGCCGGCTTAACCTAAATGCAGCAAAGACAAATCATAATCCTCCAAATAAACTAATAAACTATTTTAGAATTCTGAAAGACAGGATCGGAAATTGTAACCATTAAATTATCTGACTCAAGTTCACGTTCAACTCAATAGTATAAGATGATCAAACTCGAAGGTGTGTTGGAGCAGAATCCTTTGTCTCAGTCATGATTCTTTCACAACTCAGGTTCAGTTAACAATCGAAGCACGGGGACTCAATGATATGGTGAAATTCACTGAAGAGCCTCAGTTTGTTGATTTCTACCAAACCTTTGTGGTTTGTCTCATTCTAACAACTTAAAGATGTACTAACTAAGATTTAAATCGCATGTGATTCTAACTTGAAATTCGACTACTAAATCGGCTAAACCGCTCGATCGGGACTAAAATCCTCATAATAGACATACTAATGCATTAGGTATAAAAGTCACATTTTGATACCCCTTCCTTGCCATGAACTAAGAAGCAACATTTCTTTTCCTTCCCTCGATTCTCTTATAGTCCATTAGAACAAATAATGAAGAGGGCAATATAACTTCTCCAATCATTTCTTGAACAATCAAAAGTCATCACAGGGTCAACATCATTACTCTTCTCAGTCAAGGGAGACATTACTTGAATCTGCTTTGTGTTTTTTTTTTTTTGGTCGAATCTGCTTTGTGTTTGTGTGTGTGTGCATGTATGTGTGTGTGAGAGAGTACTTATGGGTAATGAAAGAATTGCACTTGACAACTTCCTGTTTTACCTTTAAACTACAATTGATTCTCATAAAGTTTGATTAAACATGTTATATTGAATTTATTTTTGTAAATCCCAAAATGTGTAGTTTTGAGGAGCTGCACTTCCTTTTTCAGCTATTCTAGATCTCATCAGCAAATCTTATGGTCCACGATTCATTTCTACAAAAAATGTGACTTGCCATTGATGTTTCGGACCAGATTTTGACGACTACAGAAATTAACAACGATTCCTTTCCTGTTCAAATGGAGGCGGAGGCTTCCCACGGCATAAGTTGGATAAAGTCCAAGTAGTGCATTTTATCAGGGCCAACTTTGGATGTCCATCTAATTGAGCCAATAGTGGGACTAGAGCGCCTCCACTTAACACATGGTCCCTGCAATTTGGCGAGTCACCGGCAATGTTTCCCAGTGCCCAGACAACCTGCTTGATTCATGGGAATCTAGGTTAAATCATCTCATCCATCATATTCACCAATTTTTTTTAAGAAATCAACTCAAAGAATTGTTATGAGGTAAAACAAAAAACCCAACCTGTTCTCGAACATCAGCAACAGAAGAGCTAAGAAGTCGCACAAATTTAGGGATAGAACCGAGTTGGATGATGAGTTGTATGTGATCTAGTCTCCCAGAAGCTATATTGGCCAACGCCCACGCAGCCTCAATCTGAAGATGAAGAAAGATTATGACATCATGGCAAATGACGTAAATGATTTCCTTTTGCCTGCAAGAACTAAGATCTCAGTGAAAGAACATTGATAGAAACTAAAAGGACCATACTTGTAATTGAGGAAAACGATACTCATCAAGGAACTGCACGAATCGAGGGATGACTCCTGCTCCGACAACCTCGTCGATCGGAAGGCACTGATCTTCGCAAATATATGATTTCGACATTGATCATGCAAACATTCCGACGACAATCAAGCTAAGGTAAAACAATTAAAGGAGGAAGGAAAGAGGGCTTCGAAATTACCAGTCGATAATAACTTCCTGAACTGTGTGGTTGCTTCTAACTGCCGGATAGAATCACTCGATAACACTGCTTGAACCATCAGCGAAAGATGTTCCAACTGTCATGAACACTGGTCAGAAACTATTGACCCGACATTAGCATATCCACAGATGACTTGTTTTCAATGGATAGTACTACATTCTGCAGTAATGGCTGATGAATGCGAAAGCCTCATTCCATGTTAGTCATCGAAATAGAACTACATTTTGATTTTTTGATGTTAACTGAGGTAATTTAGCAGTTGCCCCGCCACTTTCAACAGGTTTTGATCGATGGGGTTGGAATTGGTGAGGCTGTTGTTGTTGCTCGCGTTTGATGATGTCGGTGATCAAGAATCCCACTGAATCTATTGTGTGATGTGTGATAATGAAATCAGGTAAAAACCCAACTCTCTCTCGAACTTTTTCTTCTTTGCCAGACTCTTTTAATTAACGTGAAAACTCTGTTCCCAATTCAGTTCCTTTTATCTTGACCATATATCGCAGAAGACGGCACCAGCACGCACATAATTGGTCAACCAGTCTCAAAGTTTATTAATGGATTGTGAAAAGCCAGGACTCTCTTGATGGAGCCAAACCCTCTAAGGACCAACCCAAAACTATTTCAGGGGATGAAAGTCGCATTTCGCAGGCCCACCTTTTCTGTTTCTGCCTAAAGCAAGTGCTCCAGATTGCTTTATTGCCTCGCTCAATCAACCCCATTCCTCTCCTTTCTTTTTCTTGTTTCGCCCCCAGCATTTTAGTTTCTATAAATAACAAGTCTTTACCATCAACAAGAACTATGACTCACCCAGAAAACTAAGTTACACAGTGACCCAAACGCACTCCAGAAAATAAAGAGCAACTGAGGGAAGTCAACAACAATTGAACACAATCAAACGCTGGGCAAGATGCAAAGACTGATAGAGCACACTAAACAACGGTAGAACGAATTAACATACAAAAGAAAAATGCAAGATGAGAAGAAAAGGAAAAAGGAAGACCTTGGGTTGAAGATGATGGAGGTGCGCATTGTCAATGAGGAGCGACCCATTACGTCGCTTCTTGAGACTGTCAAGCCTCTTGCTCTTCCTGATCTGCACCAGCTTCTCCTCCCTCTTACTCCTCGCCTCGTCTCCGCTCACTGCTTTCTTGTACCCGTTCTTGCGCGCCGCGCTGGACGGTCTCAGAGACATTGCTTCACTCCTCCACCCGCTCCGTCTGTCCAAGGTCCTCCTCGATCGTGGGTCTGTCGTCGGCAACCTCCAAGAAAGTGATCAGTGGAGAAAAGGGCGGATGCAGAGAGAGACTATGGCAAATGGGCGTGGGAAAGCTACTTTTGTTGGATAAAATAACAGCAAGACGAGGACCAAGACAGCCTCGGGCTTCGTGCAGAGTGGAGAAAATGTTGGGAGAGGGAGTGGAACAGTCGCCACTCATGATAGCGCGATGTCTTGTCAGTTTGACTTTTCTGCCGCGGGAGAGGGTCGTCGATCCTTCCTGCCTCCCTACCGTTACGAGCGAGAGAGAGCAATGAAAACGGAGCCCAAATAGGGGCGAGGGCGGCAGCGGTCGAGCCCACGGCGGCTGAACTACAATTCACTTCGAGACGAGCCAAGATCGTGGCGGCGGCACACGGCGTCCAGCTCGATCGAATCCGGCGGTTCCAAACGGTGGCGACGGCCCTTCCATGGCCGTCAACGTCGACGTCGCGGTGGCCATGGAGAAATCAGTGAGCTCGAAGAGGCTGGAGCGGTCATGGTGGGTGTTCAAGGGGCGACCTCTAGCGCAATGGTGGTGTTCAAGGGTGGCTATGGTGGCTTGCTGCCGCAGTGGTTGGGATTTTCTTTCATTGAAAGAACAAATTGCACAATTTTAGTCAAAGAGAATTGATACTAATCATCCAATTAATATTTATCCGTATGTTGCTGACGTGGCATCATCCCAGAAGAATACGTCGGGTGTCCGCATGGATGTTTAGCTACCGATTTAATGGTGTGTTAGTTCCATTTTAGCAATTTTCGTTCGTGCATTCAACAGGGACGCTATATTGAATTAAATCTTAAAAGTCGAGATACTCAATTAAATAAAAAAAAAGTTAAGTAGTTGATTGAAAAAAAATGGACAAAAATTCCGCGCGTCATTCTCCCTAAAATACATATGAATCGAACATAGATCTCCTAATCAAAGAGTGAATGGGAGTGGAGGAACATATGATGAGGAGAGATTGTTGCAATCATAATTATTTAGGTCATTAGTTACATTAATTGGAGGTGACCAAATAGACACAATACTAAAGGCTCTTTTTAGTCTCTCTCTCTCTCTCTCGCTAATTACTCCTCTTTGCATGAAGAGAGAGAGAGAGAGTGTCCCAAGTGGTGGGGAGGGGGTGGCTATCAGCCTATCGCTAGCAGACTCCTTTCGTCTTACTAATCGTGTGCGTTTACACCAAAATATAATCAGGTCATCGATAAACGCGTTCTAGGCACGTGAGCATGAAAGACTATGTAAGAAATAAGTGAACATTACCATGTGCATAGCGTTTTATCGATAATGGTAGAGGATGATGTCTGACCAACCGATGATGATGCTCCTCGGTGATATCTACTCAGTTATCGATACATGGCGATGTGGATATTGGCAACGAGCAAATGGCAAGATGCTGTCTGAAGATCTTTAGAGGCGCAAACAGCATAGTCATATGGCTACTAGTTTAAAGATAAGCGATCGAAAAGTAATGGACCCATCAATAGAGGGACACACGGAGGCATGATTGCGAGGTAGATGAGATTGGGAAGAAATGGACGCACATTTTTTGAGGAAACAGTTGCCATTTGAATATTACACCATGTGATGTGGAAGATAGAACCACAGAGCAGTACGATCGTGAGACAGTTGCTGATGGACAATCACCGGTCGTTACTAGAACAAAATCATGGAGGCAACGATGCTCGTTTTTAGGAAGATGACCATTGGAGAAAGAATCTAAGGATCGCAGGTAAAGAATGCCAAAGAACAAGAGAAACATGGAGACAACCACAGAAAACTGTCCATTAATAATGCAACTGCTGAGAACCATCTAGAAGCAGTTACGGCAAAGCCATTATAAATATCACCAATCATATACTAGAACCCATGCACAAATCAAATAAATTTACTATATTTCAGTATATTTACTAACATGTACCGCACTTTACTTTCCTAGTTATAACTCTTAGATTCGCGTCGTCAATTAAATTCCGGCATGATATTCGAAAAGCCAACAAACTGTCTAAATGGAGAAAGGAAGAAAGAAGCGGCTGAGGAGTAGGGATCGCCGCGCAGTGACGATGCCATTGTACAAGCATCGATGAGGAAGCAAGCGAACTAGCCACAATTGCCCTTGCCGAAAATCATATCCCAAGAAGAAGGGAGAAATTACCAAAAAAGTTTTAAGCATATTGCGCTTGTACCAATTCTGTTATAAACTTTTCAATTTGGCTAATTGAATCCTTTCGGCTAATTTTAGCCTGAAATCACTAACGTAGATGCTATATAACACGGGTAGTACTGACGTGAATATTTTTTTAAATATATTTTAAAAAAAATATTAATTTTTTATTGTATTTTTCTTTTTCTTTTTTCTCTTTGCTTTTTTTTTTTTTTTTCCATTGGGGCTACTCTTATTGGCCGTGAAGGCACTAGCAAGGCCACAATGGTCCTAGGCGAAGATCTAGTGAGGGTCATTGTGCCCTACCCTGCGATCGGCAAGGCCTTGATGGCCTGGCCCAAAGCCTTTGCGCCCTCGCCCACGGCCGGCAAGGCCACGATGGCCTCACCTAGGGGTGTCAAAACCAAACACAATACCCGAACCGAAACACGAACCGACCCGATCCGAACACGAAATTTTTTTATTGGGTCGGATTGGGTTTCAACTTGTTTGGGTAACAATAAAGATAATTGGGTATTGTTTTGTATTTATTGGGCTCAGGTACCCAAGCCCAACCGAAACAAGGAAACCCAAACAAGGAAACCATTTAGTTCTCTCTTCCACGTCTCTCTCACTCTCTCGCTTCTTCTGCGTTCTCTTCTGCGATTTCTGAGTCCTCCATCCAGGGCTTCCGCAGCCTCGCCGAAGGCAAGACCATCGAGTTCCCGATCGAGTCCGACGACAACCGCACCGGCGACATGGCCAACGCCAATGTTGCGGGGGGCACCCCCTCCCCCGCGCGGAGCAAGCCGGCCGGCGGAGAGGCCGGGGGCGGCCTGCTCGGGTCAGGCGCGTGGCCCGCCCTCCTGGCGCCCGCTAGGGCTCCCGCTCCTTCCTCGTCGAGGTCGTCGCCGGAATCCCCCGCGCTGAGGACTTAGCTGATGGGTTGTCGGAGCTGTTCATATCGGAGGTGATTTTTTTTTTTTGGGCTTTTCGATTTTCTTTTCGTTGCTCTGTTTGGTTACCCGAGACGTGTCTTTTGTATCTGGACATTATGGCGATCTTCTTTCGCTACTGGATTATTACTGGAGAGTGTTAGGAGCGTGATGCGTTGTGTATTGGATTTCTGCTGTGTGTTCGTTCAAATATGCCTCTGGAATTGTAGATCTTCTGCTTCTTAAAATAGAGCATGAGTGAACATATAATTGAATGCATAGGAGCAAGATAATGGGGAGTTGGGATGGATGAGAAAAGGTTCGTTTGGCTGAGTTTGAAACACGGAACCCGACCCGGCCCGACCCGACCCAATCACTTAGCTATATCTTGTTCGGGTCTTGTCTCGGGTCGGGCCGAGCACACCTGTCTAGTATTTTGGGTCAGGTCGGGTATCATGTAAACCCGACCCGACCCTACCCATTGACACCCCTAGCCTCACCTAGGGCCTTCATGGCCGATGAGGGCCTCTCCCCCGGATCTGGCGAGGGCCTTTGGGGCCTCACTGGCCATGAGCGAGGCCTTCGGCCTGCAAAGGTAGGGGTGAGCAGTTCCCGGTCAAGTCCGGTCCAACCCAAGAACTAGGAATTGGACCGAGAGGATCGATTTTCAGTTTTTAGGACCGAAGATCGGACCGGTTAGTCTTGGAACAGTGGACTGGTTCCAATGGGACCAATCACTTATTGGTAAAGGCAAGAGGGAATTGGGGAAATTAGATTAGGCTTTCTATTTTTTAAATTTTTTTAAAAAAGTAAATAAATATATATATAATTAGAAAAATATATATTTATTGGTCCGATCCGGTTTCTACCCTAGAACAGGGAACCGGACCGCTCGAAAATAGGTTCCACTTACAGGAACCAAGAACCAGACCGATATTCCCGAGAATCGGACCACACCGATCGGTTTGGTCCGGTTTCGATTTTGGCAGTCCATCTTGATCACCCCTAGGCGAGGGATGTCGGAGATTCTGGCCGGCCACAAAGAAAAAAAAAGCAAAGAGTATAAAAAATCAAAAACTTCAAAAAAATCATTAAAATATTATTAAAAATGTCAACGTCAGCGTCGCCGGCCGTGCCACGTAAGATGATCGGCGTCCACGCCAGCGATTTCCGATCAAAATTAACCGAAAGAGTCAATTGACAAATTGTCAAAAGGTTTAGGGATAAATTGGCTAAATTAAAAAGTCTAGGGCTAAATTAGTATAAGCACAATAAGTTTAGGACTTTTTTGATAATTTTTCTCGAGAAGAAGAAGCAAGAGGCAAGCAAGATTAGAAAGGCAGGAATGAATCTGGCAAAGCTAAAGATTCACATCGAAGTAAGAAGGGACATCGTGTCAACTCTCACGTTTCTCCTGGACATTCCACTTTAAGGATGATTACCGTGACTTGAAGTGAAGATGTATTTTTTTCAAGAGATAATGACAATAAATAGTTTTTGAATATTGGCTCAATGTGTAATATAGTACGTGAATTTTTAATTTATTAAATATGATCCATAAACTTTACTTCAATGTGCAATGTGATCCCTAAATTTTTAATTCGTTCAACATAATCCATGAACTTTTAGTACATGTCCAATTTAGACCCTGAACTATATGAAAATATTCAATATTGTCCTTCCATGATTTCAATTTTAGGGACAACATCGACCATTTTCTATAATCTGAAGACCAAATTGAACATGGTCAAAAAATTCATAAACCACGTTGAACAATTTAAAATTTTAGGATTAACATTATATATTGGGCTAAAATTTAGAGATCATATCAAACAAATTAAAAGTTCAGGGATTACGTATTACACATTGAGTCAAAGTTTAGGGACAATTTGTGCCATTTTTCCTTTTCTCAACACCGAACGGGCTCGTTTTCTCAACTGCAGGGGGCCATTCGAGACAGAAACTCAAGTTTCAGGGCCAATTCTGCGAAAGCGCGCCCACTTCAGGGGTCGAGTCGCAATTTTCCCCTAAATTCGTCGGTTGCGGATAAGACACGGCGCGGCGCGTGAGGCGCGATACCGTATAAATACTCTCTCCGTTCGCGGCTCGCTCATCTGTCCTCTTCGCTCTTCACTGTCACTCACTCCGACTTTAAACTTCATCAATGCGCCTGTCATCCACTTCGTAGCTCCCAACCGCCACGCGCTCCTCCCGCCGCGATCTCCCCTCGCCCGCCGCCTGGTGCCGGTCGGATTCTCCTCCCCCCTCCCTCCCCGCCGCTCCCGCCGCGCCGCCGGAAGCTGAGCTCGCCGGCCGGCGGATCCGGCTTCTTCGCCCCTCCAGCGAGCTCGCCCTCGCCGGTGAAATGCTCGTTGCTTGACCGGCCCCATCGCGTCCGAATCAACCGGCTCGGTGTTCGGATCCTCTAGCTATGGTGATCTCCGGTCCCGTGACTCCTGGCCAGGTGCGTCGCTGTGAGGACTAGCGTTTTTCGTTCTT